ACCCAGTCCATCTTTTGCGAGGTCTGTCTCTTCCTTTATAGCCTGAGTCCTCGGTATTCCAAGCTCTCAAAGCGGGCTGACTAGATGATATTGTTGCAGTGACAGATGGCCAAACCATTTAATCATTCTTTGCTTTTCTACGGAATGGATCAATAGCTGCTCTTACTTCTTCATTTCTCTGCCTGTCTCGTCTTTTGATGTTCAAGGCTTTGCGGACACATTAATTGTTCTTTTCGCTGGCTGTGATTTTATTTTGGTGGTTTTACTTAATGCCCAGGTCGGAAATTGGTAACATAATGTTGGTATGAATATTGAGGTTATAAGCTGTCTCTTTGTGTCCAAGGAAATGTTTGGATGAGATAGACGGAGTGCAAACTGATAGATGACAGCGTTGGCGTTTTCAATCCGTGTTTCCGTTTATCTATGTTAACCTGTTTTTTGCAAAAGAAATGCCAAAATATAGTGAAAACTTCAGTCTCAGTTTTATTCACATTTCATCCACAGAAACACTTAAGGAACTGTGACCTTTCAGCTAACTCTCATGAGTTCTGTTTTTGATGTGCTCAATCTCATGTCAAATTTCTAACAGATGTTGTTGAGTTGGGTGTTTGGCTTGGGAGACTTTGTAAGCCATTCTGTATTTAGCAATTCGCTAAATTAGAATTACAAAGTTCTATCTGACATTTTAGGCCATTTAGAGTTACTAAGACCCTGAGGCTAGAGACCAAATGATCTATCTGTTCTATCAAAATCGTAATATTATTTGGAGTTGTTATCAAGATATTTTTAAAAACTGCATTTGAACATAAAATGACCATGTTGTGAAATTCCAAATTTTGCGAGGGCAGAAAAAACTCAATACCCCCCCCCCCCAAAAAAAAACAACAACAAACAAACAAACAAACAAACAACCCTTTACCATTTCACCATACCTAATAGTGTTGAAAAGGACGTTAAACCTATACCATAATTTCACCATTTATTTTTTCAGATGTGCGTCCGTTCAAATGTGGATCCTGTGGCAAGTGCTTTATCCAGAGAGTATCTCTGAACTCCCACCTGTCCAAGCATCATGGCGACCACACGGCCGTGAACACTGGAATGGTCGTCAAGAAGGAGGCTGAGGCAGAGTAGAGGAGGAGGAGAAGGAGGAGGAGGAGGAGGAGGGAAAGAGGGCGTAAAAAGGAAGATGAGGGAAAGGCGGAGTGAGAAGGAAGAAGAGAGAAAGAAGAAGGGAAAGAGGGAGTGGCAGGAAGTAGGAAGGAAAGAAAGAGCGGGATAGAGAAAGACTAAAGGGAGTAGAAGAAGAGACAAGTTTTCATCCCAGAGCTCTTGTTTTTGATTTTTTCTTCGTACATTTGTGTTCGAAGGTATATTCGCATTTCCGTCAATGAAATACCATGTATTCAATCTTTGTAAAAATCGATATCTCCAGCTGAAGAAAATAGGGAGCATTAGAAAATATCTATCTGTTTAATAACTTTAATAACATCACTTATATTGTCAAGGATTGATTATTGCAATTCCTTACTGGCTGGTGTACCTGATGAACAGTTACAACAACTACAAAGAGTACAAAATATTGCTGCCAAAATAATTACTAAAAACCTAAAGCATGATCATGTGACTCCTATTTTAAAAGCATTACACTGGCTCCCAGTGAAAAAGCGTATCATATATAAAATCTGTTTAACTTGCTATAAGTGCTTAAATGATTTATCACCGGACTATCTAAAACAGCTTTTAACACCCTATGTGCCTCCTAGAACGCTTAGATCATCAAGTGACAAAACAACCCTTGTTAAGCCTAAAATAAATTACAATTCATATGGCCAACGCTCTTTTTTATATTTGCCCCACTTGTTTGGAATAGGCTTCCAAAAACTATCAGAGAAGCAGAAAATCTAGAAATTTTTAAGAAGAAACTAAAATCATTTCTAATTTCATCATATTTCGATTAGACAGACAGCATCCAAGCTGTAGATCGTTGTGAGTTTGTATGTGCGTATGTGCATAATATGTACGTATGTGTATATGTGAGTATGTATGTGTGTGTGGTGCGTGCGTGAGTGAATATGTATTTGCATGAGTATGTAACACTATGTACCTTTAAAATTGATTTGTAAATCCATTATATGTATCATGTTAGGCGCATAGAGCATTGCATAAGTGGATATGCGCTATATAAATGCAATCCATTATTATTATTTTTTTCCGTATTCCAGGGTAGAACCTCTTGTCCCTTTCCTCACTTTTTTTACACACCTTAGTTTGTAGCAGACTGAACCAAAAATGTAGGTCAAATGTGTAACTGTGAAATAATTTGTACATCATCATCATCATCATTCAGTGCCAAATCTGCGACAGACATTGGGGATCATGGTTCTCCATTAATTCCTTTGCTACCTTTCCCTGATCTTTCCTTGTTGCCCATTTGTGTAGGTTCCGTAAGTAGGTTGCTCTGGACTTACCCCTCCCTTGTTTACCTTCAATTTTGCCAGTGGGGGCTAGATGTTCAGGTTTCCCCAAAACGGCATTTGTCTTTTCCTGATTGTTTTTAACAGTGAGCGTCCCACGTGGGTTTCATCAAGTACTATATCATTTGATTTCTTTTCCTTCCACGATACACTTAGCAGTCTCCTAAGAAACCACATTTCTGCTGCTTCTATTTTATTTTTACTGTCTTTAGTAATTGCCCAGCATTCACAGCCATGTAGAAGGGTTGAGCATACATATCATTTCAGAACTTTCATTTGTACATGGATTTTTTAATTAAAAGCCAGCGACGCTGCTTTGATGTACAGTGTGAACACACAGTAGGACTAGATCGGACGTTTACATTCTTAGGCTACATTTTAAATACGTTTCAGGGTATAGTCATCAGGAAAAATTATTACGTAAACTGTTTTTTTGAAAACATGATTGGTTGGTTTGATAATCTCAACTCTATGTTATGTGATACCATTGTTTTGGTTTTTAAGACACACTTAATTGTGTCATTAACACTTCCTTTTTTTAAAACCAAAACTAGTTATGTTACTTTGTGCTCCCAGCTGACATTATTCTGTCAGTGGCCTGTATTCTAACCTGCCACAGTTTGTCAGTTTTTTGGGCAGAGACCAGCTCTAATTTTGGACAATGTGAAATAATATCGTGATTTGCGTATTTTGAATATTCACATTCCATATTTGTGTGTTTTGGTGTTTGGAGATTTCTAATAAATTGAAGAAACTGTCCGGCATAACTGATTGTTACGACTTTGTTTGTTTATGTCTTCTGTCTTCTACGTGACACAACTTAGGACCGTCATTCATTATGGTCGTATGTCAAAATACGAGGTTTTCAAAAGAAAAAAAACCATAATGAGGCCTGTGGACAAAATGAGTTATTTCTCACAATCAATGAATGGAGATTTGTAGATTTTAATCTTATGCATGATCATCATGTCCTTTATCATTTAATATCATAAAACCAAACATATAAATTATATATTATACAGCTGTGCCCAAGAGACTAAAATACGAAAATTCATTCGACGATGAAAAAGTTTAAAAGTAGCCCAGCTTCATCCGGAAGTTCAGACCATCTACTTGTTACTATTTTTTATTCGTTAGAGAACGTAGTACGTAGTCAGCTTGTATACATTCTCTACCTTTAGAGAACGTAGACACTTCCCTGATGATAGCTTCGAAGACATCCACCGGAGTGCTCACAGTGATGTGCGATTGGTCCATTGTCTTGCCATTTATATCGCTAGCCCCGCCTCCGTAACCCTACAACTGGAGCCATTGAGCGAGGTCAACATAACGTAATTAGGTCACTGTGTTAGAAGAGTCTTACTTGGAACGGTGTAGAGGTGAAAGTTTTATTACTTGAAAGTGTAATTTCCAATGCTGGATTAATGAAGTTGATGTTTTGCTTGCAAATAAATTAAGTTTTCTAAACCAAAGTGATAAGGAGAGAGTGAAAGAATTAAGTCCTCACCAATCCAAAGATACTAAAATAATGAAACCAACAACAAGGTGCAATAGTGTTTTAGATACGGATCTGCTCGAAAAACACTCATTGTACTGTTTCTACTGTCTACGTTTTGGAACTGAGGACCAAGTGGTCTAAGACAGGTTTTACTGATTTTGTCGTTGTGAAACACAGCATTAAATACACGAGCCGTCAAGAGCGAACGTCAACAATGTCATTCAATATCACACTTTCGGACAAGTAGACATAGCAGCGAAGCTAGACGTTGGTCATATCATTGCAAAGTCTCACTACAACCAACGGGGGAGAAAGAAGAGGCATGGATTGTGTAAGGTTATCGAGTGCATTTTAATCTGTGGGATTCATGAACTCGCCCCTAGCGGTCTTGAAAACGGCAATTTTTCAGGGAACAGCGATATCTTTCTTGATTTACTGCACACAGACACTACCACTGACAGGGTACTGTTTGATATACTTCCAGAACAATACAAGTTTGGAACTCTCTTCCCTGACCCTTGAGACATACAACATCTGAGTCTTAATTTTAAAAAAAAATTAAAGACACTTTTAATGACATCCTTTTTAAGTCAGTAGATTCATGTTCAATACAATGTTATGTTCTATGTATCCATTTATGTATTTTGTGAATTGCAGTGTACATATTATTTTATGCTCATTTCGTGACGATGTGTAGATCTAATCGTGTGCATGTTATAAACAAGTAGATGTGTGTGTGTTTGTGTGTGTGTGTGTGTGTGTGTGTGTGTGTGTGTGTGTGTGTGTGTGTGTGTTTGGCATACATGTGTCTGCACATGTGTGCGTGTTATGTGTTCGTGAGTGTGTATGCGTGTGTTTGAGTGTGTGAATGTGTATATGTGTGTATGTGTTGTGTGTGTGTGTGTGTGTGTGTGTGTGTGAGTGTGTGAGTGTGTGTGTGTGTGTGTGTGTGTGTGTGTGTGTGTGTGTGTGTAGCGTGCATGAGTATTGTTGTTACATGCATTCCTGTAAAGCGCCTAGAACTGTGTTTACACGGGAGTGGGCGTTATAGAAATGATCTTCATTACTATTATTATACAAAACGAACTGTTGGAATGCATTTTCAAAATATACCACGAACATGTGAATAAACATAATATAATATGCCATGCCAACTTTCTTTCTATCCAGGCTGACGAAGCAACTGATGCAGGTCATTTGTCCTAGTTTGTGGATAATTCTGAGGTATTAAGGAGGGAATTATTCACAAACTGTGACAAATGACCTACTTGAGTTGCTTCGCCAGCCTGAACAGAGGTATATAAGGACAGAGCAAAAGAAACATTGGTAAATGATCAGTGTCAACAAATAGAGAAGAACCAAAACAGAGACAGCAAATACATGTATTCCAAAATCACAGAAGTAAGTGGGATAAAAGGATGCTCAAATACAGTCGGTGGCCTAGTGGTTAGGCTCTCCGACTCGCAACCGTAAGGTCGTGAGTTCGAATCCCGTCAGGGGCCCGATGTTGAGTCCTTGGGAAAGGCACTCTGCACACATTTCCCTCACTCCACCCAGGTGGAAATGGGTACCCGGCAATAGACAGTGAACGATCTTGTCAGGTTGATAGTGTTTGAGCGCGTGAAATCCGCAGCTTGCATTGTATGCTTCCTCGGAAGCTGAGAATGTTTTCTGAGGGTTCTCAGAGGGTCTGCTGGGGTAATAATAGTTGTAAAGCGCATAGAGCATGCTCTTGAGCATGGATATGCGCTATATAAATGCAAATTATTATTATTATTATTATTATTATTATTATTATTATTATTATTGTTATTATTATTATTATTATTATTATTATTATTATTATTATTATTATTATTATTATTATTATTATTATTATTATTATTATTATTATTATTATTACAGGATGCATAGGATCAAAAGGAGGAGATATTTTAATGGACAACGGGAATGTCTTAAACGGATGGTCTGAATACACATAACTTTTTTTCTAAAATAATAGAGGAGAAAAACCGATAATAAAGAATAAAAATAAAAGGACCACCAATACTGAAAGCAGAAGTACTAGCTGCCATTAGGAAATGAAACAAGGAAAAGCCACAGGGCCAGATAATATTCCAGTTGAAGTGATTGTTGCGCTTGAAGAACTAGGCACTGAA